CTCCAGGGAGCCCTGGAGCCCCGGACAGAGCCCGTCCGGGAGCTGCGAGCAGGGCTCTGCCGAGAAGGGGCTCAGCTCCGGCAGCAGCGGTGAATCCCGGCTCTGGAGATGGCCATGGTCCGAGGGGCCGGAGGTGCCGGGATCCCCCGCCGTCAGCCGCGGGCTCTCGGGCTCCCCTCTCCCTGCCTTTTGGCTCCGGTAGGGCTCGCCGGGCTCCGGGGCCGGCCCGAAAGCGGGGCTCTCCTCAGGCTCCTCCGCGGGATCGCTGCCCTCATCCAGGCTGGGGTAGAGGAGGTCCCCGTCCGGGGTTTCTCTGTGCTGGGTTTGTCTCTTGTGCTTCATCCGGCGGTTTTGGAACCAGACCTTGACTTGACGCTCGGTGAGGTCGAGCAGAGCCGCGATCTCCACCCTCCGGGGCCTGCAGAGGTATTTGTTGAAGTGAAATTCCTTCTCCAGCTCCAGCAGCTGAGTGTTGGTGTACGCGGTCCGGAGCCTCCTGGAGCCGCCGGTGTCCGCCAGCCCCTGGATGTCTGAAACACACGGAAAACCGCACGTTGCGACAGGGGGGAGCGGGGGCGAGAGGAAAGTCTGGATCCGTCCCCTCCCCATTGAAGGCAGGGCAGAGCCGTGCCCCGCACTAACGAGCAGGACTGAGGGGAGGGAGCCGCTACGGGAGAAAATAAATCTTTAATTAAACTCTTCCCACTGTGAAAGGGGATTGGAAATCATTCTCCGGTCCCCTTACCTCAAGAAGGAGGAAGGATTTTGCTCCCTGGCCTCTCCTTTCTTTCTCTGCCACATTCGCCGATAAGGGGAATTTCGGCCCATTTCTTCTTTCTTTTTTTGCTCCCCCTTTTCCCAGCAGTTCGGGGCCGGACGCTGTGGGGCTTTGCTTTCCTGATTCCTGCATTATCTGGCCAATGAGCTCCGGTGTCCGCCTTTCCCCTGCCCCAGCATTTACCTGCACAGGGCAGTTAAAATTCTGAAACACTGAATTGTGCCTTCGACAATTTGTCCCGGGGGAAGTAGGGTCCCTGGCCTGGCTATTGCTTTACTGCGGGGTTAGAGGGGTGGGATTTGGGGGTGTATTTATTTTATTTTGCAGATATTCCCTCCGCTGAGTCCAGCTATTGCTCTTTCCATCTCCCCATCCTGCTGGGAGCAGCCCCCGCGTTAAACCCTCATCTTTCTCCCTTCTCTTCTCCTCTCTTCTTTCGAGTTTTTTACGTCTTTATTTTATTTTATTTTTTTTTCTCTGTATGCTGTTAAAAAAAATCCGGGCTGAGGGGGGCGAGTCAAGCAAATGGAGCTGTAGCCCCGTTGCCAGATCCCCCCGCTGGAACTGATAAAGAGCCCGGCTTCCCCAGCCCCCTCTCTCTCTCAGAAATCACAGCAATTTGCTTTTTTATTTGAGGGGGGAGGAGGCAGAAGAACACCCCCTCCCCTCCAGCTGTGTGCATTGCTGCGGTGT